GAGCCCAGCATCCCAGCCCCGCTCGCTGCCCTGTGCCGAGGCCTGCTGGCTCCAACGCTCTGGCTCAGGCATGGGGAGGAGAGGACATGGGGTCAGCAGCACCAGGGGATGCAGCAACCCTGTTGGGAAGCAGCCATGGAGAAGAATCACATGCACACACCCATGCACATACATGTAATCACATGCACACATACACCCCACGCACATATACACATGTGCACACCCACACACAATCACATGTATGTGCTTATACATGCACACGTAGATGCACACACATATGTGCACACATACACACACACATCCCAGCACTCACACACATACACACACATGCAGCCCCAAGGCTGCAAACCTCTTGCTGTGGGAGACGATGGGGCAGACAGAGCCACTTTCCAGCATCTCCCAGCCCTTCCCAGCGAGGATGAGGACGCAGACTCCTGCTGAGCAGCCCAAGGCACCCAGCAGGGAGCGGGCAGTGGGGTGCAGGGAGGGGGCACACCCGGAGCTGGGCCTGGGCACACCCCACCTCCCGGCTGGCATGTCCTGGCACGGGCACCCCGGCACGCCGCGGCACAATCTGGTCGGCAGATGCTTCAAAACCATCAATGGGCCCAAGAAATGATGGGGGGGTCAGTGTTCTCCAGCTGCCTGGAGGGGCTCAGGCACCCAGTGACCCATGGCCAGAGAGCTGGGATACACCTGGGCCATGGCACAGCTCCATCAGTCCTGCTCCCAGCCATCCCCCCCTGCCCTGGGAGCCGCTGTTCTGCTGCTGTGTGTGCTGCCCAGCGCTCCCTGCTCCTCCAAACCAACCGCTTTCCAACGGATGGAGCAGTCAGATATTCTGCAGAGCCTCCAGCGTTTATCACACCATAAATCTGGGCTTTCAGCAGCTTCACGATGCTGCAGGGAGATGGGAGAGAACAAAATGCTGCTCTGCTCCATCAGACACAGCCTGCGTGTGCCAGTGCCCCCAGCACTGGGGCTGCCAGGGGACGGGCCCCCAGCCCTGCTGCCAGGGGGGTAAGGACTGAAGCAGAGGGTTCATGTGGGCAATAGCCCCCTGGATACAGGCCAGGGGGGATTGCTGGCACCCTGAGATGGTGATGGCTGGGGGACAACTGCATTTTGATGGGACAGCGGTGGTGTGAAAGAGTAAAATGTTCCTCTGGCATTAGCTTTGTGGAACTGCAGCGACCACTGTACCCCAGCGTAGTCCCCAGGCATGGTACCCCAGTGTGGTCCCACAGCACAGTGCCTGGGCATTGTACCCCAATGTGGTCCCTGTGGTCTCTGGTCATGGTACCCCACTATAATCTCCCGGCACTTTCCCCATAATGCTGCCCCGGCACACTGGAGTTTGCTGCTGCCTCCGACTGGGTTAGGATTCAGCCCACTGGT